GGTTATACATGCATCTCATTACTCATTCAGATTTATGCAAACATTACACACTATGGGATGTCATAGATATCTATGTGACATTCCACTCACTATATGCCTAGGTACAGTGCTGGTAATATCTCATTGAGATACCAACTCGTGTAGTTATAATCATAAAAACAATTTATTTTCTTACTCTTAGACTGAATATTCCATAACAAAAAACATATCAACTCTAGTTTTATTATATTACAGTATTTTCTCCATTAGAAGTACATGTGAAGTTGCCGACTACACAACTATTAAAATACTTTATGTAAAAACATCAAAGCATATCAGTGGTATGTAAATTTTGTAATCTGCTGATGCAAGTTCCAAGGCCAATATTTCACTAAAAGATACTGATTTTATATCTTTAGGACCCCAGTGAAATATTTACTGATGCAAAAATCTGAATTTCAGTGAAATTACAGCATTCTGAGAATAACCCTGTTATTATAAAGCTTTATTGCAAAACTGGTGTAATCAGCCCTATTGCATACCAGTTTTGGTTGATACAAACTGAATGATGCTCCAGGGTTCAACAAGACTGATGATTTTGTACACGATTCCCAGTTGTCATCATGAACTCCATTTCAATAATTTTTCTGTAACTCGGAATGCTGCAAGTCAAAATGATTCCATTCAACCAGGGATTTAACAACAAAAAACGCTGAATAGCAAAGTGTGAAATGAATCTAAATAACACTTCGATCACAGGACAATCGAGAACAATGTCACTTGGGTCATGGGTTCCATCATTAAAAGACAGTTACTGTTGTTCAATTTGTACCACCAATGAAACGAGTCAGCGATTTAAAATCTCTACAAATGCAAACAAATTGTGACATAACCTCATTCAGCATTTTGAATCCAATCTTCAAAACATTATGGTCCTGTGTCAAGTTTGCCTAAAATCCATCCATACTTGACCAAGATCTGGTTCCAGAATCGGCCATTCCAGTTTATATCTGCACCCCCCTGTGGGGGGGGGGGGGGTGATGATGTGGTCGGATTTCCAGCAAAAATACCACGGAATTCCAACTGTATATGGAGAAACAGAATCTGGAAATCCAGACGAGTATGGATTAAAAATTCCTGGAAATCCAGGCAGTTATGGCTACTAAATAAAATATGGCCTAGTTTATATCGCCACATACCGGTTGATGAGGT